TCGCCGACAAGCGGCGGTCGATCGGTCGGTATAGTTCGATTGCGGATTCTTTTTTTGGCCCCAAAATACTTTCTTCTTAAATGTTAGTCCCTACTTATACGTTTCATTCCCAGGCGCCAGAATGGTTCCCCGAGGCTGCAAATATTCACGTTGCGCAACTCCTAGCAGTGTTCTGGCGTCTTGGAAGGAAACGTGTAAATACTGATTATGGAATCCTTCCTTCAATTAAAACTGACTTATTGAATTAGAAACTACTTAGATTAATATCGGCTAACAAATTTGAGCTCAACTGTCCTGACTGTCGCAATAATGGGGTCGTCTTCGGCGCGTGACATGCAATTGCGGAATCTCGGAAAGGATAAACATATACGGCAAGTTTCCAAAACGAGCAAGGCTTAAAACTTGAATTTCAACATTATTCTGGTACGAAAACGCTGGCCTGATTTCCACTCTCTAGTAAGAAACTATATCTAGGTGGTATATCTACGGCAGGCCTATAATTGCAGGAATTTGTGCCTTACTGTAAAAAACCAAAACACAGATGTAAAAATAAGTAAAGCTATCCCTGTAATAGGTCGTGAGATGTTGAGATTCCCACATTTTCTAGACAATCGGCTCATAGATGGCGGTAAGGTTGTCAGCCTTACGCGCCGGCCGCCCTTTACCTCAAAAAACATTCCAAGAATATTCCTGGTGCCCATTTCTGTTAGAGGTTGAGTCGACCCCAGGGCCATAGTGCGGCTGAAGGATTAGGTAAATTAAAAATAAATCCAATGACCTCATCGGGATTCGATCCCGCGACCTTCTGGCTTATAGCATAGTGCCTCAACCAACTCAGAGGAAGCTGTTGTCTCTCCTTACAATTGTAGTTTATCTTGAGCATTTCTACACTGTAGATTAAAAGACCGATTTTGGAAACTTAGCAAACGAATTTTGATTTATACGATACGCTTCATTGCAAGATCAAATCGTCCCCAAGATAAATATATTTTATCAGCATTTTGTCACTTTGGGAGTTCTGGGCTACATCCAACATTTGTGCAGCACATACACAGACAAGTTTAAAAATGGATTGGGTTAGCCAATGTGTGGTTCGTATGCATATGTGAATTCTAAACATTCAACGGTCAAAAAATGTATGTACTCCATATCTGTTGAACATTATAAACAAAATGTTCTAGATAATATTAATTTTTGGTAAATTTCGAAAAACAGAAGCCAATGAGCATCTCCTGCTTTCATCATGTCTATCCATACCAAGCAGAGTAACAGCTGCCGATGAAACTCGGTATGGTAGACCTGAGAAAACCTTCACTGAGCCATTTTGATTCTTGTTTAATTTTAAGGGCAACTTCACTAAAGGCACTAAATGAACATATATAACTTCCATGTTATTTCACACAGTTTAATGTAACTCGAAATACGATCCAACTATTATATTGTTACCACATATTTCATTAACCCCAATTTCTTTGAAAGCCCATATTACTTGTGGTTCAAAAAAATGCTTAGCTGCTGATTTTCATGAATTGTACTTTTCCTAAAATACTATTAAGGTGTTCAAATAAGGGTTGGAAACATGTGCGAGACGAATTATGCATACATCTAGGAAACTTAAAAGGAAGAGACCATTTGGAAGATATAGGCATAGATGGACAGGTGTAGCTTATTAAAATGGATCTTGGAAATATAGTGTGGGCTGGATTAAACTCCTTCAGGCCAAGGGCCAGTGTCGAAACCTTGTGCACATTGTACTGAGCCTTTCGTATTTATATAAGACAGGGAATAATGAAGACCAACTGAATGATCATCACCTTCACAAGGAAGGATCTGCTTCCTGGATTTGGTTATGCACTGACTTCAGGAAGATTGCTAGTATAACAACAGTCATTAAATGTCCACCATAGAAAGCACCGTCCACACTCTTATGATCACCGTCATTCAGATGTATACAGTACAGGTTCTGCTTTGAAAGTTGATGGTTGGTCAGGCGGCTAAAAAGAAAAGAAAAATCCCCAAGTACTTGGGACCTATAGGTCCACCAGCATGTTGACAAAATTCTGCTAGTTAAATCCAGCCCAAACCTTATCACCCCATTTCTCCAAGGTATTCTTTTAAGATTATCCTCCAATACACCCCAAGATTTCCCAAGTGATCTCTCATACTGATATCTCCCAATCAAACCGCTCTATGCATTATTTATAAAATATTCCCCATACAAGATTTATTCTCTACTACACTGTCAACAAGCCTGTTATGATAATCTAATATCAATTAATAACACTTTCTTAGGCATAACTAAGTACACAAGATGGCATCAGTTTAGTAACTGAATAAAATAAAGTTCCCACACTTATTATCTGAAATGCAAAGTAATCCCTGTTATTACAAGTCCCAGGTATCAAAATCCTGTCATATTTTCCAAATAATTATCTGCAGATTTATCATTCAACCATGAAAGTCAAGTCTATCACTTGTTACTGTCACACTTTGTCACAGGAATGCTTTATTAAAAACATTATCACAGATTTAAAGACACCGTTAATATCATTGTATCTGTAATTCATAAGTTAACCTAATATGACCATGTGATATAACTATACTTTAATGCAGTGCTGTCCAACGTTCTTATGTACTCAGACACAATTCACTGATGCCTATGGAGGTGCAGGCGCCACCACACACTAATACTACTAGTACTTCTACTACTACTACTACTACTAATAATAATAATAATAAACAACAATAATAATAATAAAAATTTTCGAAAATATTTAACAGTACTCAGACGTTCAATAATGTCTCTTGTCTTACAATTTCAATTAATATTAAAAATCGGCTCAATTATATGTGGTTACGGAGGGCGCCAGAAAAATATATCACAGGCGCCGCGTTGGACAGGGCTGCTTTAATGTATTTAATAAAATGTTACTCCACCCTGGATGCTTCAGTATAATCCTGTCATGGTAGGGCCCATTTTAACATTCTGATCTGGTTTCTATAAATATTTGGAATTTGCAGAAGGGACTTCATATTGTCGTGGATGCTGAATGCAGAGACGGAAGGGTGGGTCTCTCCTGCAATAGAAATGTTGAGACCCCCAACCCAATCTCCCTGCTAATTCCAGAATATTCAAGAGCCATCCAACAATGCTGACGAAAGTGGGCCTAGCTCCTGCAAGAAACATTCCATAGGACCGCACTATAGAATGTAATTCTGAAATTCTCAAGACAGTCCCAGATAAGAAAGTGTAGTGCACATGTCTGCAGACATGAAGCAGAAAATGCTATGAACTGTCAGCTAGTTTAGGGCAGACAGAGAGAAGATGCAAGGAGAGGAGAATGCAGTGGCATTATTTTGCATTCAAAGGATTGGAGAGTATTCATAACTGATAAACAAAGCAGTACCCTTTCTCAAGCCATCTGCTATGACATCTGTGTGTGATCTACATCGAACCACTGCAGTGTAGAACATACTGAATGTATACACACCCAAACAAGGAACACATGCACCATACTGTATGATTATATAAAGATACACATCGTGGGAACAGCATACCAACTAACACTAACAACTCCTACATCATAGAAACTTGACTTTGGGCTTCATAACAGGGCCTACTACGTAGAAAGCTTCTACAACAAAGACATACAAACAACATACATGCCCAATTCTTCTACACTGTAGCGGTGGAACCTTAGATATTTCAGCTGGCATATACATTCTTNGGTCAAAGGGTAGGCATCAGACGAAGAGAGACACCAAAAACTGATGCCGGAAGCAGCGTCATCAGCAGCGACTTGAAGCACAGAGCAAATGATGCTCGAGATGGTTCAAGTTCGTATAGCAACAGGCGTGACCAGAGTGGTTTGAACAGCTGTTGTACTGCGATGTGGAAAGCAAATGGAAAAACTACCACATTATCACTTTTCCTGGATAGTCTCTTTCCAAAAACAGAAGATCGCATTAAGTGGAGGAACTGTTTTGGAAGAGACTGTGGACCTGTCGTCTGACAGATTACTGATGGATGGATGGATACATTCTTAACCTACAATCAAAAATCCTGTAATTAAACATTTTTAATGTACTTTTTTAATAATATATTCAACACATTATAAATTTTGATATATGATATACCTTTATATCGTCACGTGTTGGGTGTATAACGCGACAAATAACTTCACGCCGTATTGGATATCTTATTTATGTATTTGCTATTTTATTATAACATCAACTTGAGGCAAAAGTTTTGTCAGCATATAATACGATGCGTTGCACCGATAAGGATCCATATCGGTATTTCAATGACTACGTATTCCTTTGTACAACGAGCTGATGATGGTCTTATGCGACTGAAACATGTAGCAAAGATCTGTAATAAAACTGAGTATTTGTTGTGTTGACGGTGACATAATCCCTATATATATATCTCTGCATGAGGCTACCTTTCCATCACTTGTCACCCCCAAGCACAAATACCAAAGCAGGATCAATGCTGAAGCTGACCCAACACTCAAGCAGACAATATCAACCCAGATACTGACAAATTTTATTCAATGCACCAGGCACTTTCAATCCAATAAAATATTTGTATTGAATATTAACTGTATTTCTATTGCTTCTTATTTCTTGTGGTATTTTATTCTATTAAAATTTGAATACCATACAAGTTTTACAATACTTAAGCATCTATGGCACAGTGCATTACAATTGGTAAACAAGAGGCAGAAAAGTTAAGAAGTGACCTGCCAAGGCCCACAGGAATTTTCAAGTGGTGGCGGTGAATGTGGGAACTGTTGATAAAGGTGATGGTGGTGGTAAACACATGCCAGTTCCACCCTCTCAGTCATATCTTGGAAGTCATCTCAAAGATGCAAATTGATTAGCATCTGTCACCATGTCTTACATGTAGTATAATGATGCATCTGCACCAAAGCTTCTGCCAAACTTAAAAAGTATCCCTTCACATGCTGTGGTCATGTATTAAAAAAACATGTAGATGTTGAAATATAAAAAATGACCTGTTTTATTAACAGAAAATATTTTACAGAAGTAACTATATTATGAAGCTCTGCGTTTGATTGAAACTTTTCCACGACTCAACTGTGATGTGTAAATCCGTACTTTGCTACCATCCACTGTTTTCTTAACCCAGATCTGTGAACATACAGAAACATGTAAAGCACCATTTTCAGCAGACAATTCCAATGATTTAAAACACCAGATTCCTAAAGATATGTTAATATCACACAACCTTTAACACTAACCAAATTGACAACTGTGTAGCAAGACTAAGAGAGTTCTGTAATGTTAAAGAATTGTTATTTTATTACACTGTAGCTTAAATATGTATAAAGTGAACTTAGTTTCAATATGAAATTTTGCTAAACATCATATACTAGAGACAGAAATGCCCAACAGCTATGCATAATGTTACGAAGATATAGCATGTGTGTGGAGTTACAGATGTATACACTTGCAGTCCTCAGCGGATGGTCACATTCTCATCCTGTGGCACATAACATGACTTAACAATCTTAAAACTCACTGCATTCTCTTATCTACACTTCTGACTGATTGCTTCATAAAGTATTTCATGATGCTGTTTCTGCTGCAGTAATTATCATCAAATGGGACAGGAAAATGATCACGAATGGTGAGTGGATAAGGATTTAGAAGGAGACGGTTGTGTCATGTGGAGGCATTGTCATGGTGTCTGAAGAAACCAAACAATGAAAAATCTGAGTCAGAACAGGAGGCACCTGGCCAAGAGTTAAACTAGGGATGCCCAAAACACAATCTACACAACTACGCAATGTTCCTGCTCAGCTTCACATTAGGCCTTTTAACAAAGCTGTTTTAGCAGCAATGGTTATATGAGGTGTGAAGATCAGGACTGGAACGTAAGAATTTGGAAAAATATCGCTTGCGGACTAAAATCACAGAGTTTGTTTGTTTGGTCATGTTCACAGTAATGTCCCAGAATCCACCTTTGAACTGAATACCTCTGAAACATAAGCCTCTAACATTACTGAAACCTCCCTTGGTCTTAAAATGTTCTGCCCACAGTTCATGCCTTTATATGGTTTAATCCCTTACACTTACAGCTTCTGTGCCAATGGCAGAAATAACGGCTGGGAAACGAGGGAGATCTTTTCCTTCTACATACACTGGTTGTCCACGATGATACCTGAAATAAATTACATCAATGTAAATAACTTTCTCTAGTATTTAAGTGATTATCTACTACACAAACCAGTCTTTAAATTTCTTATGAATGGTTTCTTTTGCACTGTACCAAAAAAAACATAAACACATATAAGATGCACTGTCACTACACTAATCCAAGCAACAGATATATTTAACCTTTTTCATGCTGAATTCTTTATTACAAAGACATTTTTGGTTTATACTTACATGACAATTGAAGTTTATAGGGTGAAACTAATGTTTCTGAAGTAGCAAAAGATGGTGGAGCACTGACATGCCACAATATCAATCATATAGAAAAAACAAGGGCTGTTTCCAAATTGATTATATCTCGATTACAGCACAGAAAGAGTTACAAAATCCTTAATCTTAATAATTTACTTCTTTTGGCTTATTTTGGACTTCATCCATCATCTAGTATGTAAAAGACAAAAGACCACAACGTTTCGGAGGCTGCATCTGTCTCCATCCTCAGGTGGGTCAGGCAGGATAAACCTACTCAGTTGGGCCTGTTAGAAGGAGCTAGTCTCAACCACTGGACTGATTGAGACTAGCTAACCAGTAGGTTTATCCTTCCCTACCCACCTGAGGACGGAGACAGAGCCAGTATCCAAAACGTTGTGGTCTTTTGTCTTTTACATACCAGATGATGGATGAAGTCCAAAACAAGCCTAAAGAAGTACAGTATACACCATCGTCAGAATCCTTTAAAGTTAATAATTTAGTTTACAATACTCACCTCTGTATGTGAAGATCTTGGTTTCATGTCCAATCGACATGCTATTTTTAATAAATGTTATCATCTAATTTCCTCCTGGAAACATTGTGAACCGTATACCAGCCTTACCACCACTTTTACACATATAGCAATGCACAGTAGTGCACCCTTTGTACAAGAGTAGATCTTTGAACAATACAGCAATATCATTATTGTTGTTGTCTTCACTGCCATTCTTTCACAAGTTATTAGAAGGTAAACGGTATGGCTGTCCTTGTAACAGGCTGTGGAGGCCCATAGGGGTGTGAGACGTGGAGGGTCAGATGGCAGTGAGGTTCCCAGCCTTACGCGCTGGCCACGATTTACCCCCAGGAAGATTGCTGGTACCCATTTCTGTTAAAGGATGAGTCGACTCCAGAGCCACAGTGCAGATGGAAGGATTAGGTCAACTGAAAAATCCAATGACCTCACCCAACCCTTATCCAGATCCAGAGCCAGACGTCCATGAATGGCTCACCTCTAAATGCACAGGGTCACTACTATATGAAATACATTCAAAAATACAACAGGGTAGACAAAACTGCTTCGGTATTTTAATGGGTTTGTGTACACTAATTACGATGTACTGAGTATTCTTGATAGGGAAAAAACATACGTAAACACTATGTGCAAATCCAAACACAAAGACTAATATTAAACTTAAAAAAAAAACCCAACAAAATATGCCATTATAAATATTAAAATTCTTAACAGTAAACAAATAAAGAATAGTTGTAAAAAAAATATTAGCGATTAAATAATATCACATGCAATAAAATGTCTCACAACTGCTTATATAATTGTTCCATACCATCTTCGTTCATACAGCAACTTTCCATCCTCTATTCTAGTGTCAGGAAGAGAATTATCAGGAAGCGAAGGTCCCAAAGATGATATGCCAGAAGATGGAAGAAGTGCTGTAAATATTATTTGCAATTAATGTGTCTCACTTTATTTTAAGCATCACTGTCACATCAACCTGCCTAATCCAAAAACTGGGTTAAACCTCTCACATCTGTCCTAGTGCATGACTCTACATGGATTTCCATGTGTATGCATCTTGCATGTAGTTAATGTGGTGCTTGGTTTGCAAGAACACCAAGACAACATCAGAACTGTTGGTTATACCAAACTGTGTGCAATTGTACATAAAGCACAATGCATACTGGACCTCAAATCACTTAGCCCTCAAGCCAAGTGAGAAAAAAACCTGCAGCAGCCATTGCACTGGAGGCTGGGTGGACTCCAGTACTATTTGAAAGTGGTGGCAAAGAGAAAAGTTCCTGATCCTGTTGGGAACTGAATCATGGCTATCCAACATTTCTGATGAACATTCATACTTTGACTTTGTTATGAGCTTCACTTTGTAATAGTCAGGCTTCTCTAAATGGAAAATCATTTGTCATAATACTTTCAGACTGTACCTGGTTTTCTAATGGGACCAAGAGGCTTCCCTCTGCTAATAATTTTCAAATCTCCTTCAATCTCTTTCTCATCCAGCAAATAATTAAGCTGAGCTGGAGGTGGTTTGCGTCGCTTTTCTGGAATTGGTACTGGGTCATTTGGACGTCGGCGGAGTTTCCGTGTCATAACAGGTTTCACCTATAACAGGAATTAATTCCATATTAAATTGACTCATCTTTTCACAGCAAAGAAGCAAATCTCCCGTGTCTATGTATGATGTACCTCTCACATTATGGTGAAATGATTGTCTAATTCAAAAGTTTAAAATATATCTCCAGTTACACCTATTTTAAAGAAAATTATAGCACCAGATTCTGACATCTTGTGGATATATTTTAAAAAAGACATCCAATACTGCTAATTTCCCACCAAACATCACTACCTGCAGCTGGAACTATCATTTTTTTTTCTGTGGCGCTACAGCCCCAATTTGGGCCTAGGCTCCATTTCTCCATTTCACTTCGGTTTATTAGATCTTACACATTCGGTAGGACTCCTTGGCCGAGTGATCAGCTCGTCACAAGGCCTCTACCTGTAGACAAACACAGAAAAACGCACACAAACATCCATGCCCTGAGTGGGATTCGAACCCACGATCCCGGCTTCCGAGCTAGCGAAGACAGTGCATGCCTTAGACCGCTCGGCTACCGTGACTGGCTGAACTATCATATATCCTCTCCATATTAACTGTACCCCATCATTTTCAGCAGGCGTGCAAGAAATCTGGCTTTGTCTCACACTTTTTCCCATAACTTCTGAGAACACAAGACTGAGGCACATGACACATTATTTCAGAATGCTGCAAAAACAATGGTAGAATAGTAAGTACACTCTTTGGTACAAAAACATGACCATGAAATGACTGATGTGTACTCAGCATATTTTGAATTTCAGTATACCAATATGCATATGTACACAAACTTCTGCTGTAAACCTATCCAATTCAATAAAGTCTGCTAATTTTCCACTCATTTTAATATATCTCATCATATGACTCTATTCTGAAATAAGCTGTCTTACTTATTCTAATCACAGCGGCCTCCGTAGTATATGGGTAACGTTCCCACGTCATGACTCAAGGTACGCGGGTTCAAACCCGGCAGAGGTCATGGAATTTTTAAGGGCAGAAAAATTCAGGGAACAAGTCCTCCGGGAGGGACTTTTAAGCCGTGGGTCCCGTGTCGTAGATTTACGGCACGTAAAAGATCCTCATTTCTCTAGGAGACCTCTGAGCAAAATTAGGTAAAAAGTTTCCCGCCCAAGTAGTTTGCAATGCCTCCAGTAGATGGGGAAGCATCAGGTACGACAGCCAGCCTCGCTGGCTGAATGGGGCTGATAGCGAGCACCAGTACCGGCAGGGTATGGAGACTGGTAGAATATCAAAGGGGGACATACAATAGACTATTATTCGCGGTGCATGGGGAAACCCACCCCCTCCAATAATAATAATAATAATAATAATATTCTAATCCTACCTCCATTGAATCCCCTGTCAATTCCATCGTATGCCGTTCAGACTCTATGAGTTTACGTTTTTCTTCCATATCTGATATCAGAGTCTCTCGGAGCTCTATTTTCTTTTCTTCAAATTCTTTTGCAGCAGCTTTCTTCTCAATTACATAATCCCTTTCAACACATTCTATCAAATAATCCTTATGGATAATGTTAAGACGTAACCTAAAGATGTCAAAAATAATCAATTCATAGTTTGAAAAGTACAACCCACAGAGACCAGAAACTGGACATAAAAATCTCAGACATTTTAGAAGCACAAAGTGTATACAAAAAGTAATGATATTTGACTCAAGAGGAATCATTCACAAGAAATTTGTTCCAAATAGGAAGAACCTTACATGGCACATTTTATTTAGAAGTGCTGGAATTAATGTTGCAAAGACTCTGAGGAATCAGACCAGACTTTCATGAAAATAAGAACTGGTTTTTGTTGCATGACAAGCATCTGCACATACCTAGTTAAATGTTGAAAGATATCTTTCCCATAAGGGGGTTACTAATAATAACCAGACACCCTATTTGCCATATTTGACTCTGGCTAAGTCTTTTCTGGGGCATTCAGTAGCACAGGTGGTTGAAGCACTATGCTACAAGCCCGAAGGTCATGAGTTTGATTCCTGATGAAGTCACTGAATTTTTAAATTGACCTAATCGCTCCAGCCACACTACGGCCGTGGGGTCGGCTCAGCCTCTAACAGAAATAAATACCAAGAATCTTCCTTGGGGTGTAAAGGGTGGCCAGCACATAATGTTGACAAACTTACCGCCATCTGTGAGCCGAATGTCTGGAAAACGTGGGAGCCTCAATGTCTCACAACCCTATGGGCCTCCACATCCTGTTACAGGGGAGGCTTTACCTTTTTTAAGCTTTTCCTCCTTCTGAAGTTAAAAATTAAGATGAAGGGGAAACAATTTCATACCATCCAAAAGAATGTGACTGACCATTTCAAGGTGGTAATGTCTGAGGAATTTCAAGAATGATTTAAATGGTTAAAAGAAAAATATAACAAGTGTATGGAGTCCCACAAGGGTTATTTTGAATGATTTTGATAATAAACTATTTTTCTGAAGTTGACTCCTTTCTTTTTTAATAAGTGTCATTACTTTTCACACGCATGTGCATACATAAGATAGTCATGTATGATTTACAGTTAATATAAATAAACTGAGTAGTAAAATTGTACCAACTAAGGCATCTGATGAATCCACTGCAGTAAAAATATTAGTTTTGATACTTCGGTTTTAAAAACTAATATATTTTGCTGATTACACATTTGCACTGGAAATAACCACGCACTTAAAAGTATCATAAAATGCTTCCTGTTTCTATAAAAAAATGTTCAAGGATCTGTAAACAAAGATATTCAGAAGGATCTACAAGCAGCACAGCCACAGTTACAGTTCAGATAAAATTCATATTCATGTACTTCCATTATGCAGCAAAGGCTAAGGTACTCTTAAAACTGTGATTTCTGTGTTTTGATATATGAGGGTCACACAGCAATAATTTGGAGCTTTGCAGCTTAGTGATTTACAGGCCTAGGTTATAAGAAACTAAATTTTTTAAGAGTTCTCTTCTGGGATATAACACACTGTGGCCTGATGAAAGCCAAAAGATATTTCATAGGAACATGTCACCTCCATTTTCTGGGGTGAAGGGTAAGCCAAGCAAGATACTAGCAAAGCCTGATGGCCATCCTACTAACAGAGGGTTAGGTTTAAATGTTTTAAATATTATGTGGTTCACCTTTCTTTGTAGCTGACATCTAGCCTTTTCAGTTTTCGATTGTACTCAGGATGTGTGCCATCTTTCAACTGTTGAAGCTGCTTTTTCAGACTGGCCAGTTTGTCCTGGTACATTCTGTACACAAAACAGAACCATATAAGAGCCATAAACTAGTAGTCCACATATTATATTCATAATGAAACGTAGCTGCACTTACTGTTCTTTAATTTCTATATATTCTTCAGATTTTCCCATGTCTGTTTCACTTGCTTCCTCAGTATCTGAAAAATTGAAGGCAGCTCCAGTTTATCTTAGCCTTATGAGGACAGGATTTTACACAGAAATGACAAGGCACATGAACCATTTTAGTCTGTAAACAAATTTCACACCCAGTTTATCACTCCAAAACTTTCTTTTTAAGAACAGTTTGTTGGTGTCATGTGAGCTTCTGGTTATATTTTGAATGTGAGGTATCAACGATATTGCAACACTCCATAATTCAATGGAACTGGAAGGGGCATGATTAATACAAAACGTGAAGTATACAGGCTAGGAAAAAAAGAATATATAATTTCTAAACTTTTTCCAGAGTATATTCATTTAACAGGTTCCACAGAGTGGGTATCTTTTTCTTGTACTCAAAGGCAGGGACAGAACCAGCCTCCAAGACATCACGCATCATTTTTGATAAACAACAATACACAATACCCAAAGAAAATATTTCCATCATAGCCCTTCTGAATTAAAAGGGAAAGCTGCTAATATTTTTAAATTATTACTCAAAGTATATTATCTGAATCCGTTTTGATTGGAAATTGCAACAAACAAAATAGAATATTATTAGGTTTTCTTGGAATACAAAAAAAAAACTTACTTACTTACTTACTCATGGAGCTGAGCCCTTCTGGAGGAGCAGCGAATTCTGCAGCTACTCAAGAATTTCCCAGCATTTGATGGAACCCAAAAGTTCATTACCGTGTTCACAACAGCCCTCCACTGGTCTCTAACCTGAGCCAGATCAATCCAATCCATCCCATCCCATCCTATCTCTCTAAGATCCATTTGAATATTGTCCACCCACCTACGCCTTGGTCTTCCCAGTGGTCTCTTTCTTCTGGCTTTCCCACCAATATGCTATACGCATTCCTCGTCTCCTCCATTCATGCTACATGCCATGCCCATCTCATCCTCCTTGACTTGATCATTCTAACATGGCGTACTCAGGTTGCGGATGGAGGAGACACCCTCCAGTTTTGGAGGGAAGCTGTGAATATACTGAATAAGCAGTCGCAGACAGCCAACAACGGGTGGTCCTCCAGCTTGGGGGTTGGGCATGGGGCTAACAAGTCCTCACCGTAAAAAATAAGTATGTTACGAAAATGAAAACAAAGCCTCGGACCTGGACAGATTCCTTGGATAAACAAACACAAAACACAACACAAAAATGCATACATGTTAAAATTCTGTGTAGAAAATTAGATGTTCAGTACTCTGAACATATTAAAACAATATTTGTAGCATAATGTATGCTAAAAATATTTGCTGGTCTTTTATTTACAACTGTATTTTAAGCTCTTTTTAGAGAATGAAGTACTAGGTGGTTCAAATATGACCAGGACTGATTTTTTTTGTAAACAAGCCACACTGCGCAGCAGCTGTGCGACCTTGAGAGA